AGCTGAGCCCAAGGTTCATTGGTCTTTTTGCGGTGTTGCGGCATGGTGGGGAGGTTTCTTATGATCTTGCCTTACCTCCCAGTCTAGCAGGAGTTCATCCGATATTCCATGTATCTATGCTCCGGAAGTATCACGGTGATCCGTCTCATGTGCTGGATTTTAGCTCAGTCCAGTTGGACAAGGATCTATCTTATGTTGAGGAGACAGTGGCTATTTTGGACAGGCAAGTTCAAAAGATGAGGTCAAAGAAAATTGCTTACGTGAAGGTTGAGTGGAGGGGTCAGCCGGTCGAGGAGGCGACGTGGGAGACCGAGAAAGATATGTGCAGCCGTTATCCTCATCTTTTCACCACTTCAGGTATGTCTCTATACTCGTTCGAGGACGAACGATTGTGTAAAGAGGGGGAGGATGTAATGACCCAGCCGATCGTTTTGAGAGTTATAGCCCTGCTCCCCTGTTTATTTCTTTCCCAGTATCACTTTCTGCTTATGTGACTTGCCGGGAGGCTTTGGTTGTGTTTTCGGAGTGTTTTGGGACATTTAGTCCCTAAACGGAAGCTTAAGTTCTAAGATTTTGACCGTAGTTGGAACTGTGTGAAGACGACTCCGGAATGAAGTTTCGTCTGTTCTGTTGGCTCCGTTGGGTGATTTTGGACTGAGGAGCGTGTCCGGATTGTGTTTTGGAGGTCTGTAGCTAAATTAGGCTTGAAATGGAGAAAGTTGATATTTTGGAAAGTTTGACCGGTCGTGGACTTTTTTTTATATTGGAGTTAGATTCCGATTTTGGAAGTTGGAGTAGGTCTGTAATGTCGAGTATGACTTGTGGGCAAAATTTGAGGTCAATCGGATGTGGGTTGATAAGTTTCGACATCGGTTGTAGAAGTTTGAAGTTTCAAAGTTCATTAAGTTTGAATCGGAGGGTGATTCATGTTTTTAGCATTTTTTATGTGATTTGACGGTTCGACTAACTTCGTATGGTGTTTTAGGACTTGTTGGTATGTTTGGTTGAGGTCCCGGGGGCCTCGGGTGTGTTTCTGATGCTTAACAGATTGAATTTGGATTTATGCAAATTGCTAAAGTTTTCTGATTTCTGGTATTTTCGCACATGCGGGTATTTTCTACTATGATCGCCTTCATCCCCATGACGGTCAAGTCAATTTTTTCAACTAATCCAAACTCAAATCTCAACACATATAACCTGTTGGGAGAAAACATTCTCCACTCAACATTATAAGGAACACACATACGTAGATTACTCCGCATGAGATTACCAACCTGCTTAGCCTCAAATTGGCATCTTGCTATACCATTTCGCAATCACAATTACTACGGAATCACTTAATATTTCTGAGTTTGAACTCATCAATACGACATGAGATTTAATTTGTCTCACAGTTTAACAACGTGAAAGATCCTTCAACACATTCATATTCAAGACTATACGTCAAATCAAGATTCAAACTATCGTAACACATCCCGTAATCACATCATACTTATCATATAGCCATTTAACCGCTCATCAAGCCATGAATTCTTCTCGTAAGGACATTACCGGACATATGAGTCCAAATGTACAAGTTCTCACAACCGAAACTGCCGAGTCTAAGCTGCGGTCTAAACCTGGCCTCAAGTCCTCTAGACTGATCCATCACAAAAAAAACACATTTCGAACCTCGTTCATGGAATCACAAGCCAACGATGCATAACTAATACTGAGCGCTCACATACGCACACGAATGCATGGAAGGAATTCAAAGAGGTAAGATTCAAGTTGAATCAATTGTGCAAGATATAATACAAGAAAGTGAAGTTTTCCTAAGGGTTCGGCAACCTCTCGAAGATAAGAACAGACGTCTCCATATTGATCCGCAAGACTCTACTAAACTTGCTCATGGCCATTGAGACCTATGTAAGCCTGGGCTCTGATACCAACTTGTCAAGACCCAAAATTCCTAACTTGTCGTGATGGCACCTATCTCAATACTAGGCAAGCCGACAACCTCAATAAATCACAATTTATTTTATGTTTGACAACATAATAGTTGAATTTCATAGAAAATCTCACAAATCACTGACATAAAATACATTCCCAAAATCCAGTGTCACTAAGTACATGAGCATCTAAATGATAACAAAGTCTGATTACTAAAAACACTGTCTGAAAATATAGAACAGTACAAAAATTGAAAGAAAAGAGAGTCAAGGTCTGCGGACGCCAAGCAACTTCCTCGATAATCTCCAACAGATAAACTCTGAGAACTAGCAACTGTCGTGTCCAGAAGTGCCTGGATCTGCACACGAGGTGCAAGGTGTAGTATGAGTACAACCAACTCAGCAAATAACAATTACTAAATAAAGAACTGAAAGTAGTGACAAGCTTCACAGCTGAGTTCAATTACAGGAATTTCCAACATAATAAGGTAGGCATGCTTTCAAGTTCAACATTTAAGGCCAAAACAGTAATTTCATGTCAAGTTCAATTGAATCATAAGATAATATCTCTCAGAAATTTCAAAAAAAACAATAATATATGACAACTGAAGTGCAACAGTAATGAAATCAAATGCATCCTCTCAAGACCACAATCACTCAGCCATTCCATTCACTAAGCACTCAGCACTCAACACTCGAACTTAGTAGGTACCTGCGCTCACTGAGGGTATGTACAGACTTCGGAGGGGCTCCTACAGCCCAAGCGCTATAATCAGTATGAACAACTCACGTGCTATAATATAATATATGGATCCATATGGATAACTCCCGTGTTGCACGGATAACTCACGTGCTATAGTATCAATATATGGTTCCGCACGGACAACTAACGTGCTATAGTATAATATATGGACCGCACAAAAAACTCACATACTGCAGGGACAACTCACGTGCTATAATATAATATCTCACAATCAGGCCCTTGACCTCACTCATTCATAAATCTCTCTAGTTTGTCGGGCTCTCAATGATCATGCAAATCAGCCCAAACAACAATAATATGATGCATCAATAATGAACAATAGAGATTGAGATAAAATAAACAAGTAAACTGTGACTGAGTATAAAATAATAATTTAGCAGATAATTCAACATGTGCACGGCCTATGTGGGTCCCTACAGTGCCAAGACATAATCTAAACATGGTTTGTGTTTCAATTTCTCTACTACATGAGGAATGCACAGATAACCACAGATTATTCAACTACACATTTCCATGAAATTTGTCTAAGTCACAATTCCTACGGTGCACGCCCATACGCCCGTCACCTAGCATGTGCGTCACCTACAAAACCGATCATACAACACATAATCCGGGGTTTCATACCCTCATGATAAAATTTAGAACTGTTACTTACCTCAAACCGTCTAATTCTTTATTCCGCTATGCCTTTGCCTCGTGAATTAGCCTCCAAACGCCTCGAATCTAGATACAAATAATTCGCTTCAGTCAATACAAATTACGGGAATTAATTTCATAAGAAAATACTAATTTTCCAATAAAAATCCGAAATTGCACCCAAAAGTCGCTCGTGGGGCCCACGTCTCGGAATCTGACGAAACTCACAAAATCTGACAATCCATTCAATTACAAGTCCAACCATAATAATTTTATCAAATTCCAATAACAACTCGACCTCCAAATCTAAAATTTTCGTTCCTGAAAAGTTTTGCAAAAATCTTGATTTCTTCCATTTAAATCCTAAATAAATGATGAATATAACCATGAATTTATGAAATATAATCACTTTTGAATATAGGACACTTACCCAAGTCGAAGTCGTGAAGAAATCCTCAAAATCGCCCAAGAACCATGCTCCAAAAATCCAAAATGAAATGAAGGAAATGACCATTTTTGGTCCTTAAGTTTCTGCCCATCTGTCACTAAAAATCCATTTTCCGTCACTAAAATTCCATCTTCTTTCATTAAAAGTCCACACTAGAACTTGCTTGCACCAATAATTATTGTTTTTACTAAAAAGGCTCTAACTCCATCATACGAACTCGAAATTCGACGATTTTTGTTCCTATGAGTCACAAATAATAATACGAACCTAGTCATACAATCGAAACTCAATTTAAAACTCATTTGCTCAATGCGATACCAATTTCTCTCGTTAAATAATTAACTTATATTTTGCGCTAGAAACCCAATCGCGACTTGATAAAATTAGACCAAACTTTTCAGATCACTCTTATAATTCACTATCAAAATCCCGGAAGTCTCGAAATCGAATTTCGATCTCTAGAACTAAAAATGGACCGTTGGATCATTACATGCTTATGCTCAAAATACCAAACTTTTTCCAAAACTCATCCGAGCCCATGGGACCCCAACCAAGTATACTAACAAGTCCCATAATATGGCACAAACTTAGTCAATGCCTCAAATTATATTGAACAACATTAAAACACGAATCGCGCCCCAATTCAAGCCTATTCAAAACTAACAATTTTCAACTTCTACATTCAATATCGAAACCTATCAAATCAAGTCTGATTGATCTCAAGTTTTGCACACAAGTCATAAATGACATAACGAAACTATTCAAATTTCCTGAATCAGATTCCGACTCCGATATTAAAAGTCAACTCCTTGGTCAAACTTCCAACTTAAATTTCTATTTTACCCATTTCAAGCCTAATTTAACTGCGAGCTTCCAAATAATTTTCCAGACACGCTTCTAAGTCCTAAATCACCATAAAGAGCTGATGGAATCATCAAAACTTTATTCCGGGGTCGTTTACACATAAGTCAATCATCCGGTCAACGTTTACAACTTAAGTTTTCATCTTCGAGACTAAGTATCTCAATTCATTCCGAAACCTCACCGGACCCGAACCAATTACTCCGGCAAGTCACATAACAACTGTAAAATACAAATTGAGTAGAAAATGGGGGAACGAGGCTGCAATACTCAAGACGACATGCCGGATCGTTACATATCAAAACATAGATCCTGCTCCGTTTATACAAAATGTTGACCGTAGTCAACTCAAATGAGTTTTAAGGCAAAATTTCACATTTTCATCAATTTTTCACATAAAAACTTTACGGAACAAGACACGGACTGCACACTCAAAGCGTGGAACACTAAACGGAGCTAGTCAATATCCTGAAACACGAAAATAAAGGCTAAAACTCAAAGTGACCTATCGGGTCATCACAATATTCATCAACCATCTTATGATATTACAACAATGCAGATCACTACTTAATACCATCTCTGAAAGCTAGAACTGTCTGCATAGCCGTGAGTATGAGGAGTATGACGGCTGCCACAGTTGAAGCTCCTGCCCAAGGACTACTAAAATAATTTTGCCTCAAATTTGCCATAATTTGATTCCACGGCTTTTTGCAATGTTGACTCATTTTTATGCTTGCTTCATCGTAATAGGTGCTGTCAGCAACAACCACGATCCCTTCTCCAAGTTTTTTGAACATGTTAGCCACTTCTCCGTCATCTGCTAGCCCGTTAAGGATGATTCCATTTTGGCGTAGCAAATTCACATCTTTACGTGACTTAATAAGTTGACCCATTATATCTACATAATCCAAAAAACATTTAGGATATAAGTTAGTCGAGTGTTGCTCATAAGCTATCAAATTTCTCAGAAAGGCCTCCGTTGAATCACCAACTACGAAACAAGGAATTTGTATCGCTGCATTCTCAAACTTGATATCGAACATAGTTGTTCTATCCATAAGATCTGCTTCGAAACTTCCTAGTTTTATGAAACTAGCTCCAGCTTCATAAAGCTCTGTTGCAGTTGGAGCTTGCCAAGACTGCCAAATATTAGAGGTAGAAATTTCTTTTGACCTAAATAGTCGCAAGATCTTTCCAAGAAATCTTTTAATATTGCAACATTCCTTTCTGATGCTAGAATTCGAGATTTGGCTAGTTTTTGTCATCTCTGATAGGCGACAAAACATGTGTACCACATGAAGTAAATGGTCGAATTTTTCTTCATCACCATCAATTTCTGATTTGAGCATAGGTATCTTACTTGGCGAAATATAACAAAGAGTCGATTTCACCATACGTATGAAGTCGGGTTCTAGATCTTCAGGACGCTTAGTCATGTCATGAAGTTTGGCGAGGACAAAGAAAGGGAGTTGGTTTTCTAGTAGCAATAAATCTCGACATACTTGAGACACCATCCAGTGCGCGTTGATAATTAGGGGGTCTCGAATAAACTCAACCACAAAACAGCCATCAAGTAACAACATTTCCGAAAATTTGCCAACAATATCACTGTCTATATCGTCATAACACTTTATTGCTTCGTCCTTTAGTTCCTCCAATTGTCCAATGCAACTTTCTACATCAAGCCCCTCTTTCCGTTGGAGAAACCGTCTTAGGCATAATAATTTGTACTTTTCCATTGAGTGAAGTTCTTGATTTTTTTTATGGTAAGGACCTATGGAGATCATCTTTGGCGTATAAGCATCTGGGTTAGATTCGCGAATGGCCGCATTTACTTTGAATATGGTAGTGGATTTGATAGATGAATTGTCCAAATCCTCAAATCTTTCATCAAAGATTTGATTCAAAGATTTATCTCTTTGTAACTTTAATCGCTCCTTGATCTCTATTAAATAATCATCTTTCCTCCCGTCTTCTCTCTGTAATTAGTTGAAAAGAGTCACGGTTTCTGTTTTTCTCGTTTTTTTTTTTTGCTCAACATATATTGTTACTAGATGATGATTAAAAATAAAAAAAACTCTAAAGACTGGCAATTTCCAAAATGAAAATTTTAAGTAACTAAATATTAAGCAGTGAGTAGAGAAAACATTAAGTTTATATTCTCTAAGAAGAGTAACAGTAGTCACTACATCTCTCATACATGCCTTGTTAATTATATTATTATTTTTCATATTTATGAAGAAAATATAATTAGGGAATGAACTTAAATAAAACATTGTAAGATGTCATTTCAGTCCTAATTTGGATAACACAGATAACATATGGTAAGTTTAAAAAACAACAAAACAACAAACAAACAAACAAACAAATAATCAAACGCACGAAATACATATCAATACGTTATTTTAATAGTTTAATTGATTAACTACCTAAACTTTCACCTTATTGGTAGGGTTTGATTTCCCACCTTAATTATAACCCCTCATTGATTTCCAGCAGTGTTCTGTTTCCATGCTAGGATTCGTTAGGCTAGTAATTTTAATCTCTGAAGGGTGACTTGACATTTGTACAACTTGAAGTAAATGTTTGATTTCTGCAGCATCATTACCATCACTCTCAAGATAGGATGCAAGGGTCATCTTTGGTAATGAAGGTAAAAAGATCCACTTCACCATTTTTGTGAATGATATTTCATCTTCCTCATTCATAGTCATGTGATGAAGCTTAGTGAGGACAAAGAAAGGAAGTTGGTTTTCTACTAACAACAGATTCGACATACTTGATTAATTATGCAATTTTCGGGGATAATCGGTCCTTCTCCTTCTGGACGCTATTCCACACCACTCTCGAATGAATTCAACTAGAAAACAGCCATCAAGTAAAAATATTTTTGAAAAATTGACAACAATATCACTTTCAAGGTTCTTTATATCGTCATAACACTTTAATGCTTCATCCTCCAATTCCCTAATGCAACTTTCCACATCAATCCCCTCTTTCCTGCGAAGGAACCATTGTTGGTAACGCTGTTTGTACTTTTCTATGGAGCGAAGTTCAAGATTGTATTTATGGTAAGGACCAATGGAGTATACCTTTGGCTTATAAGCATCTGGATTTGATTCACGTAACCCCACACTTACTTTGAATATGGTGGTGGATCTGATAGCTGAATTCATGTCCAAATCCTCATATATTTCATCTACGATTTTATTTGCAGATTTATTGACTTGATATTGACCATTTGTTTCTTTTTTCTCGATTAAATGATCCACTTTCTTCCATTCTTCTATCTGTAATTAATGGCAAAGAGTTCATAGTTTTTCTTTTTCGTTTTGAGAAACTAACACGCTGAATTCCAATTTTTTTATTTAAATGTTGTAGTAATATTTATATACTTATTATTTTCTATAAAATTTACTCCCTCCATTTATTTTTAGTTGTCCACTTTTGATTTTGCAGTCCCTCCATAGATTTTTAGTTGTCCACTTTTCTATAAATTGATGATATTCGTAATGAATTTTTAAACATCATTAGTGGAAACCAAAAGAGTAAAAGGAAAATTAATAAAACAACTGAATTTTAATAAAGAAACTTGATCAAACTTGACGTTATTATTTATGCTTTTAATGACTTAACTAATGTATATATTAAAAAATTAGAATTATTAACAAGTGATACACGAGTGACTATTCATGCTTGCTACCTTTTTCCATTTGTACAAAAATACAATAAATAAATAAATAAATAAATAAAACGAAAGTTTGTGTTGAGAAAGAGAGAGACCTCGTCTTTTGTTGCTTGACGAAGCAGTGGAGTTCGGTGATCTATTTGGGTAATCTCAATAGAGTGTGCCATCCCTCTTTAATTGCGTTCTTGAACTGTATAATTCCTACAAGCAACATATATCGGTTTAAAATGGTATGACATCAAAATTGAAAAGAAAAGACAAAAAATTAAAAAATGAAATTTCGTATTATTTCTTCTTATGAAAAGAAAACTAGATGTCTTGTACGTTATCCTGTTAGAAATTCTATTTCTTATATTGAACAAACTAATTTGTACTACAAAATATTTTTTAAAACAATATCAGGAAGGGTACACTTTTTAAGTAATTGAAAACACATAATCTTTATTATCCATGTCTCATAATCTATGTACACTGTTCATTTTATATCATCCTAAAATAATGGCAAATTGAGGGAGTAGTAGACATTTCCTTGAGGGAGTAATAAAACATTTCTTCGAGAAAAAAAAAGAAGGAGAAACTGCCTTAAGTATACTATAGAGTGATAATTTCAAAAAATGGACATGGTCAAACTCAATCCCAAAAGCTAGCTTATTGGATAAGAATTATCCAAAACCAAGTTACAGAGTAGAGCTAAAGGAAAAACAATACAGGTTCAGTTATTAAGAATGGTCTATGCAAAATATGCCTCAGCAGTGTGAAAAGAGAGAAATACTAGAGTCTGAGTAAACTGAGAGATATTGTAATAGTATAACAGGAGAATAGCTCGTATTTATAATGTATGAACATCATGGACAATTAAGATTGTGCTTCAACAGTTATATTTTCATTAACTATCTAACTGATGTAATAAGAATTGTAAGTGTTATAAGAGTAAGGAATTTTAAAGAAACCCTTCCTAGGAGTTATGCTTCAAGATATCATATTCTCAATTGGGTCTTGATAGTTGGAGTGATTTGTCTTTTGGTACAGCAGACTGAGTTTTGATCTTGCTCATTTGTAAAACTTTCACTTGGTTATCAAAAAAATAAAAATAAGAAGACCAAGTTACCGCATCCCACCCGATTTGAGACATTTAACTATGAAACGATTAAAATTGCAATAGCACACCTTGTGTTTGGCATAAAATGACAAATAAAGGATAGTCCTGTTCACTAAATTCGTGCTAGAATGACATAATGACAATGAAGAAGTTAATTACCTTTTTGGTTTTACTATTGATATATTTAAAATGGACTGATTGAGTGTACTTGAGTTGCCTCTTGCAGAAATGCAGGATAAGCTTGCATATAATAGATTCTTATGGTTTGACCCTTCCCCGAACCCTGCGTATAGCGGACGCTTTGTGCACCGGGCTGCACTGTCTACTTGACTATTCTGAAGGATATGATGAGAGAGGGGGTGCTGGAAATATAGTGGAAGAGGAATGAATTTTTAAATGGATAATACATTAATCTATGAGAAAATGATGTCGAAACTGAAAAGATTTTAGTACTATATATAGATTTTCTTTAGTGTGATTGTAGGGCTTACCTATATTACTAACGTGTGATAACATCACTCTGAGAAAAATATCATAGAATAAAATAAAGCTACAAGTATAATAGAATAAAATATAATGGCATTAACGGTATGAAAAGTATCATAGAATAAAGTTATAACCAGTTAGGTTTCACACTAAAGTTTCCTTCTTTATAAAAGGCTTATATAATACCTCATCCTCCTTCCTGCAATGAATATTCCAAAACCAGACAGACAAGTAATTATCAGTATTCCTAAATTAAAAAAATCTACTTTAATAAGCTTGAGACTAAAGACTAATGATACATCAAATTTTCTTGTAAATGAAGTAAATTCAGCTAAAAGTGGAATTGATAAAACCAGTGTCTTTTTAATTAAAGTACGAACCGGAAGAAAGAGTCAGACTCCTGCAGATCTAATACTAATGGAGGCACGATGTTACCGAGAGCATTCAAAAAATAAAAAAGTAAACACGCAAGAAGGTAAAAGGATCCATCATCTAATATATATATATATTTGACACTGCATATAATAACTTATAGTCTGTTCGGCCAAGCTTCTTTTTAGCCAAAAATATTTTTTCATTGTTGTTTGATAAAAGTATTTTTTTCCTAAAATTAAGGTATTTGAAAACTTCTAGAAGTAAAAAAAAATGCTCTCGAGTAGAAAAACGAGCAGTTTTTTAGAAGCAAAAAAAATAGTTTCTAATACTCAAAAATATTTTTTAAGAAAAAGCTTTTGAGAAAAATATACTTAGAATCATTTATTAAGAGTTTGGTCAAACATTAATAACTGCTCAAAAGTATTTTTGAAATTTATTAACCAAACATAAACTATTTTCTCACCAACAAAATACTTTTGAGAAAAACGTTTTTCAAAATAAGCTGATTTTATAAGCTTGACCACGCTAAAAATGACCTAACAAAATCATTAAGTGGGCAATGTGATACTATATAGTTACTTCGGGGGCATAAAGAGGGAATTGAAGGAGCGTTGGAAAAGGTATAATACAACGTTAATCTTGTCAATCATTATATCCTCCAGTGGATAATGTTTAGTCAGCATTTAACAGTTCAAATCCAATTAGGACACAGTAACTTTCTAGCATAAAGAGAGAAAGAGTGTTCGAAAAGGTATATTTTTCCTTGTAAAGAGATGGAGTGTTTACCCCTGATGGGAGATTTTATTGCGGTAGTCGTATCTATCATTTTGTGTTGTACACTATTGAGTGCGATGAGTCTAAAAGTGACTTTCTATTATTTGCTACAGTGTGTTTTGATATAATTTCGGAACAATTGATTACAATTTATGAATTATATGTGTTGTGAAATTGTTTCACGGAATTTATTAAAAATAAGAAATAAAAGAAATGAAAATTTTCAGTTGGCACAATATGCATGTTACTTGTGATTCAGAGTTGAGGACGAGATCCTCGCATTTTTATATGATGTGAAATGTTTAAACCGGGCTATAAGCCGTGGTGGAAGTTATATCAGGATGAGATCCTTGTGGTTAAATTCATGTATTTTTAAATTCTCCCTTTGTTAAATTAAATTTGTACTATAATACTAATAGGGAGTCATGCTTGTTAGGCTTATTAAGTAATTATTTTATGTGTTTCTGTGCATATTTAGCCATATACGTGCTGTAATTATTGAGTTTTAGCCTATGAGGTGGGTGTCCAGTTGACTCGTTAATCCAGGTAAATAATTATGAGGTCTTCATGCCTCGCGTGTTGCTGTCAGCGTTGTAGAAATTTGAAATAATTTTTTGGTTAAGGTGAGGCTAATCGACGATGCTGGAATTAATTATGAACAACTGTTATGATTAGAGATGTGGTTATAGTCATACGTATGCTGGGTGCGTAGGCACGAGTTGCTACAGCCGGTTTAAACTAATACTGTATGTTGATGTGAAAACCGGGACTTTTGAAAATGTTTGGAGTGTAAGAAATTGGTTTTAAAATTTATAAATGTTGATAAAAGAGATAATCGCAACTCGGATAGTGTTGTCGGACCATGTTAAATTTGTGGTGGCGTAGAATCACCAGCGAGTATGTGTGCAAGAATACACTCAGTAATTTAATGTCCTCAGAATAATTCTTGGCACGTTCGAGGACGAACGTATGTTTAAGAGGGAGTGAATGTAATGACCCGACTTATCGTTTTGTGAATTAGCAACTCGTTCAGCGACTTAAGGTCTCAAGCAACTTTGTGATATGTATTATGACTTGCGTATGTGGTTGAGTTTGATTTCAGATTTTTGTTAGAAAATTTTTATTTTCATATAGAATTTATTCCTATAATTTGTATTGATTGAATCGAATTAATTGTGACTAGATTCGAGCCGATCGGAGTCGAATAAATCGAGGAAAAGACATACTACTTGACTGATTGAGCGTGATTTGAGGTAAGTATCTTTTCTAACATTAAGTGAGGGAATTACCCCTTAGGCATTGAGTCTTATGTGAAAAATTGTGTAATTAAAAACTATGTACGCGAAGTGACGAGTACGTACTTGGTTTATATGTGCAAATTATATCGGCTAAAATTCTTAGACATCCTTATGTATTAAATTGGAAATTATTGACACTTATTAAATCCTCTATTTGTCATGCCTAAATCCTTGTTTGTTGAATTTATTTTTATAAGATGATTTGGTGTGATTGCCACCTTGATTTTATGTGAATCCCGTATTTTTATTGAGTTGATATTTTCCTGAGATAATTTCATTATGGATTATTCATTTGCAAATAATTTATTAAATAATTTTAAAATGAGGCATTAATCCATTTGCCAAAAATTTGGATTAAAGAGGGTGTTGTTCCTTGATGAATTACTTTCCAGTTCATGCTGTTGAAATTGGTATTGAGTTATAAAGGTCGTAAATCATATTAAGGCAAAGTGTTAAATTGTGAATACTATTTTGTTGAGTTGTTCACTCCATGATATATTTTGTTAAGATTTTGTGCACATTATGATCGAGCCATGGGCTCTTTATTATGGAAAATAATGTATTGTTGATTTCTGTGGCAAGTTGTGATATTTGAGCACTTAATGTGAAAATTTATGATATTTGAGCACTTGAGGTGCAAGTTGTGTTATGCTGTGATAATCGGTCACTTGAAGTGCGAATTATAATATATTGTGATTTTGATACGCATGCGGTGGTATAAGGTCTGGGTGTTGAAACGCATGTGGTGAGATAAGGGGGGCTTGATACGTGTGGCTAGTAGGGTAACTACTAGAGTCATGCGGTATGATAAGGGTGGCTAAAACGCGGGATGTTATTTAGGAAAAAATTATTTTTAAAACTAAATGTGAACGCTCCCACTGTGATATAAGGAAAGTTGTAAATTTATTTATAATTTGGGACTACGAGGCGGTACCTCGGGAGTGCCCTTTGTTGAAATTTATTTATGATTTGGGACTACGATGCGGTACCTTAGGAGTGTCCTTTGTTGATATTTCTCTATGGCTGCACTTACATTTGGTTATATTGTTTTTGCGAAATTTGTAAATTCTTGTATTTTTCGTGATGTATTATTTGACTTAATCATAATTGTTTTGTATTTTTTGTTATTTGTGTTGGCTTTGGCTTTTTTCGTACGAGACTCTGAGGATTTGTATTTCTGGGTTGTACTTGTTTTCGATGATTGAGTTGTTTTAAATAAAAGAAAATTACTATTATATTTTAATTTAATAAGTTTTACATCCAAATCAATAGCTTATCTGATGCTTTATTTTAATTGAAATATCATTCTTTTTCACTCAAACGATTTCTAAAATAAACTTATTTCTTTGTGGATTTCTTACTTGATTTAAAGATTTTAACCTTACTTTATTGAAAATAAATTGATCCTACCATTTTTATATATTGATATTTTGGGCACGTGAGTTGTCCGTGCAGATTTGATATAAACATTGGCACGAGGTGCCATGAGAATATGAAAGGGGGCTGAGACTCGTATTTATGAGTATGATATAAGATATTTATGTGAAAGAGTTTTATATTCGAAGGGTATTTATTTGAATAAATATATTTGGAGGGTATTTATTCGAAAGAATTTATATGTGAATGATTTATATTTGAAGAACTTGATTAATTGGTTGTACTTATGCTTATTATTCCTTTGAGCAATAATTATGGTGTTCCTATTGCCTTGTTGTTTATGTCACAAGTTGACTATTGTTGTCACCACTGCTATTTGTTGTTCTATTATTTTTATGTGCAATATTACACATGTTATTTCACTAGTGAGTGTCTTGACGACACCTTGTCACTACTCTACTGAAGTTAGTTGTGATACTTACTGGGTACCGACTGTGGTGTACACATACTACATTTCTATACATTTTTGTGCAGAGCCAGGTATTGGAGATATCGAATTCGAACAGAGATTAGAGTGTGATCGCAAGGATTCAAGGTAGGGTTGCTTGGTCGTCGCAATCCCTTGGAGTCTTTTTATTTTTATTGTACTGCACACTCTTATTTGAACTGTATTGTATATTCAATCCTTGGGGATCACTGCATGTACTCAGTTAGAGTTCATGACTCAGTATTACCAGTTTTGGGAAGGTGTTATAATTATTTTCGTTGTTGATTTCAATAAAAAAAAAAGGCTTGAATTGTAATTGTAATCGGCTTTCCTTGTCTTAGAGACTAAGTGCCATCATAACGTCTGTGGTGAAATTTTGGGTCTTGACAAGTTGGTATCAGAGCCCTAGGTTAATAGGTTCTACGAGTCACGAATGAGTCTAGTAGAGTCTTACGGATCGGTACGGAGATGTTTGTACTTATCTTTGAGAGGCTACCGAACTGTTAGGAAATTTTCACTTATTTCATTGCTATCGTGCGGAATCGTTGATTTTGGTATTTGCGCCTTTGTATCTCTATTCCCTCACAAATATTGAGAAT